TTTCCCTCCCTCGACTTGTTTCTCTCTAACTTCCAGGAACGGTCGGACAGAGTTGCAATGTCGGCTTCTTTTGGATCAAGCAGACGGCTGTGATGGGATCTTCGGTCACCGCCTTAAACCAGTAATATTGCGCCACGTGGGCCGGGGAACCAGCTCACCGTGATGCGTTGACACGTGCTGCTTCGCGGAAACTGAGGGAAAGCTTTTCACACTGGTGGCCGTGGACCTGAGTCCGGGCCCACAGTAAGTCTTCCCTTCGAGCGCGTGCAGTCCACCTCCTTTATTGTTAATTTGTTATTATTTATTATTAGTGATAAAATCATTTTAGCACTATGAATTATAGCGAAATATGCTTATAGTATTTTGTATTTTAATAATATTAAATTAATATTTTTACGTGTTTAAAATATCTCATTGATACCCTAAAATTAATTTTTAAGATAAAAGGTTTGTTCATTTATATCTAAACTCAAAAAAAATTTAGACTCAAGTTATAACTTTATTTAAATTCATATTTTTTTGTAAAATTTGAGTTTGAACTTGAGGTTTAACTTAAGTTTAAGACTAAAATCAGAGTTCAAGTTTCCTCTTCAACTCAAGTTCCTAAACTCAAACTCAAGTTAGTGAACAATACTTTTTTATTCTTAAAAACACCATAACTTTTTCGTTTTAATTCCGATTAAGATGATTTTTGTCTATGGGTTCACAACGAAGAGAGTAATAAAACCCCTCCCAGATACCCTATTAAATTTTTTCATCACCATTGAGTTTTTATTAAAATACTATCTAAATACAAATTCAAATTTTGACTCACCCAAATACAAACTCAAATAGATTCTCAATTCAAAATGTACAAATCCAAACACAAACTCAAATTAGAGTCTCAACACAAACTATACTCAAATACACTTTAATTCAAATCAAGATATGAACTCAAGTCACCCTAACTCAAAAAATGCAAATAAACAAGCTCAAAATAATCTTAATACCCTTTTATTTAATTAACTAAAAACAAAAAACAAACTAGAAAAAAATCTAATGAACTTTTTTATTTTGTTGATTTCTTTTAAATATTTTATTATTTTAAAATACTTTAGATTTTTTAAAAATATTGATTTATATTTAATTAATAAAAATGATAATTTGATATTACATATATCAAAAATCAGCTTTAGAGTATTAAAAAATATTTTTAAAAATGTCAAGGTATCAATTTAATCTTATTAAAAATACAAGATACCAAGAACATATTTCATTGTAACACAGGATATCAAAATAATTTTATCCATTTCATTATTATTATTTTTTTTAGATTTTAGATATTTTGTCATCCTTTTCTTGTTGTTTTTTTTTTCATTTTTATGGTCAAACCCTAGGAAAATAATCCAAATACTTACCCAATTTTATGGTATTTGTTGTTCCATCAAAAAGACAAAAATTGAGGCAATGTTTGAAATTGATCCCGTTTTTTTCACGTTTTTTGAGAAAGAAAAAATAAAAATATTTTTAAAACGGCGTTTGGCGCAATAAAGACAAAAAACGGAAATGAAAACAATTTTTTGGTTTAGTGTAAAATGAGAGAGAAATGAAAAATAATTTTTAGTTGTTTTTTATTTTATCATCTCTCGAGCAGAGAGAGAGAAAGAGAGACATTATTGAGTTCTTTTATACTGAAAATAATCTCTTGATAAAACTATCAAATGCATTTTCAAACATGATTTCTATCTGAGATTGAAAATATTTTCATTTTCATTTTCATATAAAAAATAAAATCATTTTGAAACGAGTTCTAAACGTGCCCTCAGAGTCTTTTATGAGGTTGTTCCCATGCTCGTTCTTTCAACAAAAAAATAAAAAAATAAAAACAAATAGAAAATTATGAAATTTGTCGATTAAAAATTTGAGAATCCGGGTTGGAATAGGGCCTTGGTGTCAAACCATATCGACATGATTGTGTCAGACTCCCGATGCACATTGCGACCTGTTGGTTTGAATTCTAGCGTCAAACCTAGCCCATCACGTCGACTTGATCGACCCATCATTCAACTCTGGACATTGAATACACTCATCAACTAGAAACTCTTGGGGTACATTTGTTTTAAAGGTTCTATATGGTTTAAACAATGATTTTTAGTTTTGTTATAGTATTTTTTTCATTAAAAAAATTTAAATTTTAAAAGTCATAATTAAAACCACTAATTTAAACACATAAACTAAACAGACCTTTTAATGTTTGTTTAATATGAGAAAATAGTACTTGTTTAATTTGAGAAAATAGTGGAATGAAGGTGAGAGGTGAGGGGATGTGTAAAAAGATTTTTGCACTCTGTTTTGTAGGAGGAAAAAAATGAGAGTAGAAGGAGAAATTTTACTTCTTTTAAATAATCCCAATTTTAATCTCTACAAATACAAAGATATTAGAAGAGAAAATTCATAACAAACAAAATAATAGTAAGGCCCTTCTTTTTTTTCTATTTTTCTTCTTTTGTTGTTTTGAATTTTAACTGTAATCCTAAATCTTGTAACTCGGTCATTGTCTTTTGTTGTTTTGAATTTTAACTGTAATTCTGAGGTCTCGTTCAATTCGTCGATTCGAATTTTAAATTTAAGCTGAGATGCAATTTTATGTGAGAGCTTTTAACTGTAGTAAAAAAGTTAAATGTGACTTTTTACGAGAACTTTTAACTGTAATAAAATTGGGATTAAAAACTTAAATCGGTGAAACGAACGATGCCTAAATCTTATAACTCAGTCGCTGACTGTTTGAGCAAGTGGGCAATTGCCTCTCTATTTTAGAGCTTTCTCACTTCGGAAATGGTTCCCTTGTCTGAGCTCTGCCAATGAAAAAAAAAAAAGACAAAGTGATGCTCAAAACCTGGGATGTATACAAGAGAAATCTAATTACTAAATTAGTCATTACTAATTCAGTCAAAAAAGAAAAAAAAAATGTCATTACTCAATGATGTACCAATTGGGATCACACATTCCATGTTCACAGTACAAACTACAAAATACAAAATACAAATATGTATAAATTATCGCACAAATTAACACATTTTATGTACTATCACTCACATGACTCGAACTCTTTTTTGTATTCCTCCTCCTTTGAAAGTAAATGATAAGAACAAATCTTATATACGAATTTCAAGTACCGATCACCTGAAGTACCCTAGTATAATTTGCACTTTCACAGTACTTTGTGGGCATGAACCCATCGTTTTATAATTTTTGGTCAACGGTTTTCTATTAAAAAAACAAATAGTCAACCCCTCGAAGGAGAAGTGACCTATGGTGATGCCTTTATTGAATAAAGGTATCATGCGAATAGCTCTCTCTTTTGGGTTCACCTGGACCTGGTTAGAAAAAAAAAAATCTCTCTTATTGCTTTTATTAAGATGTAAAAGAGTTCTTGAATGGTTTTAAACCAAAAAAAAAAAAAAAAAAAAAAAAAACTAATAGCTCTGTTAGTCCCTAAATTTTTTAACAAAATGATAATTTAGTCTTTAAACTTTTAATTTAGACATGTTTAATCCTTGAATTTTCATTTTCTGACAGTTTTGGTCCCTGAATTTTTCCGTCCAGTGCTCTATGGGTCCATCTGGGGCTTCATTCCTTTAACGCAGTACTGCTCGTTTTGATCTCCTTCTATATGTAAGCTGTTTGGACATCAAAAGTGTGGTTCGCGTGGCCTGAGACTTTTTTTTTAGGTTTTTATTTTGATGTAATAAAGGTGATGTTGATTACGCCATTTCAGAGTTTATGTTTTCATTGTGTAATAACGAAAGTTGTCGCCTCACCCTTTTATAGTGGTGGTAAGTCTAATCCGTTAAGTTTGATCCTACATGGTATTATGAGTTACCCTAATACTCTTTGTCTTTTAATCTTAGTCTACTAGTTTTATCTATTGATTATAGTGGTTTAATTAAACGGGCTTTTATCGCTCCATTATTAACGTGCTTAGTGGGTCTTTCCTTATTGGTTGACACTTATGTTCATTTCTACAACTTATTCATTTTGAGTAGTGTTTGCAGTTGAATACCCTTGTACTTGGATACTAGCTTAATCCTTCAATGAAATTTCCCTGCTAAAAATATATTTGTTATTTTTTTTAGAGTTAGTAGCTCTGTTAGTTTTTGAAATTTGAGTATAGTGACGTTTTAGTTCTTAAACTTTTAATTTAAACATGTTTAGTCACCGATTTTTTTTTTTTTTTTGACATTTTAATTTAAGATGGTAGTTATCAGCACCGAAATAGGCTAAGAATTCTTTGTATGTGCACCTCTTTTAAGGCTGGAATCCGGCAGCAGCGCTCTATACGTGCTCGATTATTAGTGTGCCGAAGAACTTTTCGGTTTTTAAGTCTCAATGTATCAATTTTACTTGTGGATCCAGTCTCAATTGAGGATTTTTTTTTTTTTTTTGACCTTCCACAAAATTTATTGTATCCTAAACAATTCCTAAAGCTCATACAAAATGATGGGCTCTTTCGAAAGCAACAGCAGGCTCCAACTTGTGAACGAGATGCGCCACATCTGGGCTCTATTGCGGGTCAATATTGGAGCTTCGGCCTTTGGGAAATCAAGCTTACTCGATGATGGCCTTATCGAAATTATGAATGAATAATATGGCCACTGGGGCTCACAAATGGTGCCGACCGTTTAAAATAGAGCCTCACTTATAGGAGTATATTTTATACCATATCGGGAAATTATCCTTTTATTTTAATTTTTTCAAAAGACCAAGGAAAAGAAGAGGCTATATATATGAGTGGACCAAAACCAAGCACACAAAAACGATAGGAGCGAGAAAATTACATGATTCACTATAATTTTATACAAATCTATTATTTACGTCATTTAAAATAATTATGTGTCATTGTAATTTTTTAATTCTATTTATTAATTGAATACAATTATTTATTTTTTAATAAAGTGGTATAAATAATATTTTTTACTGGCTTTTCCATTCAATTTTGTACGTCATACCCAAGAGGTTGGTGGGCAAATCTATCCAAACCCATTTCATGGTTCTTGTTGTAAATGGAACTTTTTTTAAGGGAAAAATGTACCCAAAAAAAAAAAATCAGCATTTAGCCGGGAAAAAAAAAGTGCTCGTGCTGAATGACAACAAAACTAATTTGATTGTTTAGATCATCTTCAAAATAAATGTTAATGCTAATTATATATTTCGCACTAACCGTGATTATAATGGAATATTTAACATATTGGGCGTATTTAGAACTCGTTTCAACATGATTTTATTTTTTATATGAAAATGAAAATGAAAACGTTTTCAATTTTAGACAGAAATCATTTTTAAAAATGTATTTGATAGTTTTATCAAGAGATTATTTTCAGTATAAAAGAACTCATTAATGTCTCTCTCCAAGAGAGAGCAGAAAAATAAAACAAAAAATAAAAAATAACTAAAAGTCGTTTTTCATTTCTCTCTCATTTTACACTAAACTAAAAAATCGTTTTTATTTCCGTTTTTTGTCTTTATTGCGTCAAACGCCATTTTGGAAACGTTCATTTTTTTTCTTGAAAAACGGGATCAATTTCAAACACGGCCGTTATTTTTATTTGTACTCCAATACATAATGCGATTTCAAATGCTAAATTCACTTTTTACTATAATTATTAAGTTTAAAATTTATAAAAGTAAATTTATTTTTTAAAATAAAATAATCTGAAAATAAGAATGTTGCAATTATTAAATAAAAAGTAAACATATTAATCAATAATAATCAAATGTTAAATTTACTACAAAATATAATATATGATAAATTTAACACAAAAAATAACATTAGGTTGGAGAGTGATTTTTGCTCTCAAATATCAAATTTACCATTAACATTTACAAATCACAATGTCACTGTAACCTTTTTGTTTCCACCACATCATTGCATGATCAATCATTGTAGGTTTACCTCTTCTTCTGATGTTGGTCTTGCTTTTGAAAGCACGCCAGACAGACAAATGAATTTTGTGTTAATCGGCCTCCTCAAATACCATGCTTTTAGCAGAGAAACTTGGATAGCAAGAATTATTATAAGAGAAATAATCTCGACGTATATTTTAAGCAGTTTACCTCTTCTTTTTAAGGTAGATAACAAGCAAAAGGTGCCTATATCAGTACTTGACATTTTGGTCCAATATCTTATTACAAGTTTATGCAAGCTTCTCATGAGTTTTTTTTTTTTTTTAATATTAATCAAGATATTAAATTAGAGCTGTACGTTTGGGGTCAGTCTGGAGCCTGTTATTGTTAGCCCAATCTCGGCCTAGCTTGGCCTTCTCTCATATTGAGTTGGACCGGTACTCTAGTTTCAAAACTATTTTCAACATTCGAAGTTCTCTTATTATATATTTTCAAAAAAAAAATTTATTATAAAGTCCGAGCCGGCCCGACCCTAACTCTAACTCGTCAGGTTTTAGGGTCAGGCTATGCCAGCTTTCCTCTTTTTAGGGTAGACGCGGCTGACTTGAATATTCTCTTTCTGTGCTCAACAGTTTGAACTTTCACCTTTATATTGAATCATGCTTCCACATTTGTGTTATTACCGATCCTTCATGGAAGACTGCATCTAATCCTTGAGCTATCATCAAATCTCATTTTCATCTTTGCTTTTCAAAATGAAAACGAGTACTCAACCTACCAATTGTTCAAAATTAGTCCTCCCGTCCATCATACATTAAAATCTCGAAAGAAAAAAGCTATGAGCGCGTTTAAAACTCGTTCCAAAATGATTATGTTTTTTGTATGAAAATGAAAATGAAAATGGTTTTAATCTCAGACAGAAATCATTTTTGAAAATGCCTTTAGTCGTTTTATGAAAAGATTGTTTCCAGTATAAAAAAAAGCTAAACTCCGTTTGGTTATATATTTTTGAAAACATCTAATAAGTATTTTAAATAAGAAAATAAAAATATTTCTTTCTTATATATGTAAGAAATAACCCATTAATAGAATAATTATGTATATATGTGTATATATATCTCTCTGTACTCTGCTCGAGAGAGGAGAAAATAAAAAAAAATAATTATTTCTCTCTTATTTTATATAAAACCAAAAAAAAAAAATTGTTTCTATTTTAGTTTTTTTATTTTTGGTTATTCCAAAATGCTATTTTCTTCTCATTTTCATTTTTTTTTTTTAGAACGTGAAAAATGTTTTCAGAATCTTTTTCAAACACGTTGTATGATTTTCTTCTTAAGAATTGTATCCGAGTATAATCTTCACTAATTCAAATCCTAGACGGTTCTGGTATGTTTTTTTTTTTAATCGAGATTTTAAGAGTCATATGGACAAAAGAGTAATTTGAGAGAATTTCAAAGATGACGCTGTTAGATAGCCCCCTTCGACAAGATTAAGTGCGAAAAATGGGAAGCTCATGACCGGACTCTTTTGAACCGCTTCCTGGCAATTTGTTCTGAGACATTTCTCAAGTCAACGATCAAAATGTGATTTAATTCTGAACTAAAATACGCCAAATTAATGCTAAAACTAAATTAATGCTAAAACTAAAGTTGCATGGGAGTGCAAAAAAATAAAAGGTACCCAAACAAATACCTAGGAATCTGTTGTCTGTACTGCTGAAAAAAGTTGTCGTTCCGAATGGTCCAAAGAATTGACTAAACTAGACTTTTATGGATTATGGTTTCTAGTAAATTTAAATATTATGAAAAAAAATTATACGTGTGGCCAATATTTATTCTACACTGCATGTCTCTATCCTGTCCATATGTTTATCTGATAAATAATATTATGTCCCTTGTCCCGATATATGGTTCAGTTTTTTCACAATTGTGGAGTGGGACAAATCTTCAATACCGGAGTTTGCATTATTAGTTTTCTATAAATAAATAAAAATGTTTGTATTATTATTATTATTTTCAAAGTGTTCATTGATGTGCATCTTCTGTGTTTTCATTGCTATTTTATGTTTCATTACTTTACAATTTAATCATATTACTCCATTTAAAGTGATTTAGGACCCGTTTAGTATATATGTTCAAATCAGAGTTTGAATCAGAATTCTTGATTATAATTTTAAAAATTTAAATTTTATATGAGAATAGAACTAAAATTATGAGTCTGTACTGTAGAATAACTCATATACCAAACACCACCTTACGTGGATATGTGATCGTGCATTATTATACATCTTCAATAGGTAATTTCCTCACTTATTAAATTGCATATTTTATTAAAATGATAAAAAACTACAAACTTCACATCATGGCAGACATGGAAACGATACTAGATATATCTTGTGGGGAACAACAGATTCTATAAATACGTACTCATAAACGAAAGTTTATACCAATGTAGAAACGAATCAAAATCTCTTTTTAACCTGAGCAAATCTATTATTTTACTGTAATTTGGTGCTAATGATTTTTTTTTTTACTTAATAATTAACATAGGAAATGTATTAGAAAATTTTGCAGTACTTGATTTGTAGGCTTTAAACGATATGCAGATTTATGATGTAAAATGTTGTTTAGTTACAATATAATTTGAGTCTTCATTTGAAATTTAAAAACGTTATTAGTATAAAAAAGCCCGAAAATAACAGAGTAATATGCTATGAAGAGTAAGATTACAACACATTTCATTTTTTGCGAAGCATATACTTCCGAGGCAATGATTTTATCAGTCATACTTAATAATTTATTAAAATTACAGGTGAAACGAAAATGAATCTGGTCATATTTTTGTCAATTAGGATATGACATGTCAATAGTAAATTGGACAATTTTATCCTAATAGTAAAACAAAATTGAGGTTTAAATTAAACTTGAAACTTTAACGACAAAAAATATAATACAAAAAATTAAACACATTAACCTTATTTTATATTAACTTTTTAAAAAAAATGTTCACTAAAAAATCAAAAAAAAAAAAGAAAGAAAGAAAATATTAAAAGGGATAGTATTGATATTTTTCTAAATTTAACATAGCATAGCATGAGACAAAGAATGTTGGTGTCATTAGAATTAGCCAAGAAAGTGTCACTGTAATTTTTAATAAAATGCAAGGCCTCACTGTAATAAGTCCACTCAATCTCGTCCTCAAAAGATAAAAAGAAAAAGGTAAAAAAGAATAGGCGACCAACTCTTTTTTACTATAATAATAGGTTTGTCATCATTAGTTTGTCAAAGTTAACAAGTGCAAACCACTTTTACCAAGATTATCCAAAAACAAAAAAACTGCTAAAAACATGAAAGCGACATCTGCAACGTACCGACTCCCAGATTCATCAACAACAACAACAACAGCAACAACAAGAAGAAGCACATTCATATTCATCACCTGATAACAACAAAACTTCTCTTCCAATGTCTACTTTATGATGAGTTTCTTCATCTTTCATTTCTACTAAAACCCAAAAAAAAAAAAAAAAATTCCCAGAAAGCTGAGAGATTTGGGTTGTCTGTAAATGGGGTTGGGAAGCGGCGAAAAGCCCACGACGACGACCTTCTCATCCTCCTCTGCAAGCAATATGAAACCCACAAACGCAATAACCGACAACGACCAAAAAGGCAAAGAGATCGCTCGGTACAATGCCGACGCCGGAATTCTCGCCGAGTTTGAGCAATCCGGTGTTTCCGGTAAGTCCTTTAACTACTCAAGATCAGTTCTTAACGCCTCGCAATCCGTGCCCGGAAAACAGATTACCGCTTACTTGTCGAGGATTCAGAGGGGCGGTTTGGTCCAGCCCTTTGGTTGCATGATTGCTATTGAGCAACCCAGTTTTAGAATCATTAGTTACAGTGAGAATTGCTTTGGAATTTTGGGTTTTAATGGCGAAGGTAGTTTGCTTGGGATTGATGCTAGGACACTTTTCACGCCTCCTTCTGGGGCTTCACTCACTAAGGCGGCGGCTTCCAGGGAGATTTCGCTTTTGAACCCGATTTTGGTCTATTCGAGAACTACCCAGAAGCCGCTTTATGCCATTTTGCATAGAATTGATGTCGGCACTGTGATTGATTTGGAGCCCGCGAGGTCGGGTGACCCTGCATTGTCGCTTGCAGGCGCGGTGCAGTCGCAGAAGCTCGCCGTGAGGGCGATTTCTAGGCTGCAGTCTCTCCCCGGGGGAGATATAGGAGTGTTGTGTGACACGGTTGTGGAGGATGTTCAGAAGCTTACTGGATATGACAGGGTTATGGTTTATAAGTTCCATGATGATGATCATGGTGAGGTGGTTTCCGAAATCAGGAGGTCGGATTTAGAACCTTATTTGGGGTTACATTATCCTGCCACGGACATTCCACAAGCTGCTCGGTTTTTGTTCAAGCAGAACCGTGTTAGGATTATCTGCGACTGCAATGCCACTCCAGTTAGGGTCGTTCAGAGTGACGAGCTGAAGCAGCCGTTGTGCTTGGTCAATTCAACGCTCCGTTCTCCACATGGCTGCCACACGCAGTACATGGCAAATATGGGTTCAATTGCCTCGCTGGTGATGGCAGTTGTCATAAATAGTAACGATTCGATGAAGCTTTGGGGGTTGGTTGTATGCCATCACACCTCACCGCGATATGTTCCTTTCACCCTTCGATATGCCTGCGAATTTCTTATGCAAGCGTTTGGACTCCAGCTCCACATGGAGCTCCAATTGGCATCCCAACTGGCTGAGAAAAGAATTCTCAGAACACAGACATTGCTTTGCGACATGCTGCTCCGAGATGCCCCATTTGGGATCGTGACACAATCCCCGAGTATCAAAGATCTAGTGAAGTGTGATGGGGCTGCATTGTACTATGGCGGTTCATGTTGGTTACTTGGTGTAACTCCAACTGAATCACAGGTAAAAGATATTGCAGAGTGGCTGCTAAAAAATCACGGGGATTCCACAGGGCTGAGTACCGATAGCTTGGCGGATGCTGGCTACCCAGGTGCGGCTTTATTGGGTGATGCTGTTTGTGGCATGGCTACCGCGAGAATCACATCGAAAGATTTCTTGTTTTGGTTCAGGTCTCACACTGCAGAGGAAGTCAAGTGGGGAGGAGCTAAGCATCATCCAGAAGATAAGGATGACGGTGGAAGAATGCACCCTAGGTCATCTTTTAAAGCTTTCCTTGAAGTAGTGAAAAGTAGAAGTCTGCCTTGGGAGGTTTCGGAGATAAATGCCATTCATTCTTTGCAGATTATAATGAGAGACTCGTTTCAGGATATGGAGAGCAGGAGTCTGAAAACACTGAGTTCTGCACAGCAGAGTGACGATACTCAGATGCATGAGATGGATGAGCTCAGTTCCGTGGCTTGCGAGATGGTTAAATTGATTGAGACAGCAACTGTTCCAATTTTTGGAGTTGACTCAGCTGGTGTAATTAATGGCTGGAATGAGAAAATTGCTGAATTGACAGGATTACAAGTTGACAATGTTATGGGGAAGTCCCTGGTTAATGAAGTGATTCATGAGGACTCTCGCGAAGCTGTCGGAAATCTTCTAAGCAGAGCTTTGCAAGGTAAAATGTTTCTTGTCTTAATGATAAAAGGCATTGCTGAAGATCTTTTGTTCCTTTTTATGTTTTTCGGAATGCCGTTGACTACAGTAAATTTCTCATAAGGTTATCAGTTCTAGAAAATATCTACTACTATAATATCAGGACCAATGTAAGATTTCCATCCCGAGTTTCTTCTATTTTTTCTGTTTTTCTCATGGTGTTCATCCTATTTCTCTTTATTTTTCCGTTTTTGTTTTTCCTAAAGTTGGCCCTGTGATGACTTCTTTTTCTTCAGGTGAGGAGGAGAAAAACATTGAGTTAAAACTGAGGTACTTTGGAACTTCAAAGGAAAAAAATGTTGTATATATAGTGGCCAACACCTGCACAAGTCGGGATTATGCAAACAATATAGTAGGGGTGTGTTTCGTTGGTCAAGACATCACTAATGAGAAAATAGTTATGGACAAATTTATCCGTTTGCAAGGCGATTATAAGGCTATCATACAGAGTCTTAATCCGTTGATACCGCCCATATTTGCATCAGACGAGAATGCTTGCTGCTCTGAATGGAATGCAGCAATGGAAAAACTGACTGGTTGGAAAAGAGATGAAGTTATTGGTAAAGTTCTTACTGGGGAAATCTTTGGAAATTTCTGCAGGCTAAAAGGCCACGATTCATTGACTAAGTTTATGATAATATTGTACCGCGGAATCAGTGGCCAAGATATCAAAAAGTTCCCTCTGGAATTTTTCAATAAAAAAGGGAAATTCGTCGAGGTTTTATTAACAGCGAACAAGAGGACTGACGCGGATGGCAATGCAGCGGGTTGTTTCTGCTTCTTGCAGATTGTTGTCCCTGATGTACAGCAAGCCTTAGAAGTATGCAGGAAAGATGATGAAGGCTTTTCAAAATTTAAAGAGTTGGCTTACATTCGACAACAAATGAAGAATCCTTTGAATGGTATTCGATTTACCCACAAGCTACTCGAAAGTACAGCTATTTCAGAAAACCAGAAGCAATTTCTTGATGCTAGTGATGCATGTGAAAGACAGATCATGATGATTATTGAAGATGATTTAGGAAATATAGAGGAAGGGTAAGTTTTCTTCAATCTTCATGGTGTAAACAAGAAATTAGAAGACAATTAAGATCTGCTTTATTTATAGTTCAACGCTTTCATCCCTCCAACTCATTATTTGATTCATGTATTTCATATTGGGTGACGAATGGATCAAAGAATAGAACAACAATATAACCAACGTAACAAATTTATTACATTAGGGGAAACTAACCAACAAGAAGCAGGAATATTTAAGGATGCTTATTTCAATGTGGTTTTTGTTTTCATTCATTTTTTTCTTAACCTTGTGAAATTCTCATCCAATTTCTCACTTATGTATTGGTTGTAGTCAGCCTTGGCAGGTTGTATTTTTTTTTAACACGCCGTCTAACATTTTACTTTGGCTGTAGCAGCAGTTTGGAGCTAAAGATGGAAGAGTTTCGGTTGAGAAATGTCTTGGATGCCATTGTTAGTCAAGCAATGATATTGCTGAGGGAAAAGAACTTGCAGCTCTTTCATGAGATTCCTGAAGATATCAAGTCACTATACCTGTATGGAGATCATATTAGGCTGCAGTTAGTCTTGTCAGATTTCTTGCTCAATGTTGTACATCATGCACCTGCATCAGATGGCTGGGTTGAATTAGAAATTTCCCCTGGTCTCAAGTTAATACAGGATGATAACGAGTTTATCCGCTTACAGTTCAGGTACCTCAACAAAATCATGTTTTATGATCACTCACAGAAAATCTCATATCATTTACAATTTAGTAATGTTGATAAAATCAAATGAAAACTCATTGTGAGTCTGAGTTTTGACCGACCATAAGCCTCCCTTTTTCCCCTTTTGCGGAAAATGACTGCGAACGGGTCCATCTCTATCTCATTGGAAAGCTACAGAAACTGTTGTCCCAAAAGGCTAAAAATATCATATCATACATGGTGGAAAACCTTCTCAAGATAATCAGTCTTTAACACCAATCGTAGGATGCTAAAATGTTTCTTGTTTTCTCCTAGTTAAAGATAGAAGTAAGCGTGAATTCTTTACTTTTAACCTTTCTGGGGAGAGAATTCTCTTGACTACTGCAATGCCAATTTTTCCTTGGAATTCTGCCACTAGGGTGGTTTATTCGCTATCTTCACATAAACCTGAAAATACTTCATATCTTCAAGAAACCCTGTTGAAATGATATTCTTGCATTCGAGTTTTCTCTATAGATATATTGTGTCCTTAAGTTGATTACAATCAGTCGAACGACAACATTACAATGACATTCACTCACGTGCCAGTGCAGACTAATTTTTCGTTCTTCTTATGCATGTAGAATAAGCCATCCTGGGGAAGGCCTTCCTGCTGCTCTTGTCCAGGACATGTTTGAGGGTGGAAAGCAATTGACTACACAGGAAGGCCTTGGGTTAAACCTGTCTCGGAAACTTCTCAGTCGGATGAATGGGCAGGTCAAGTATGTCAGAGAGCATAGCAGGTGTTACTTTCTCATCGACATCGGATTTAAAATGAGGAAAGAAAGACAAAGGGGAGGATCAAGGGCAGAGTCAAGCAGGATGACTTAAACTTCTTCAGGACCCCTAGAGAAATCTGTGTAATTGATCCGCGCAGACTGCGAAAATCATAGTCTATATGATGCCTCTATCAGGGTTTGAGATTCTCGTTATGCCCTAGTTCGATCTTTTCTAAAATATATTTTTACCATTCGAGGTTATCAAGCACTCAGTGTCCCCTAGGAGCCAGTCTTCTTACCTAGTATGGCATCCCATTGCCATGCCAACGATTTTATGATTGTATGTACCTACTTCAACTAAATTCGGCCAGTCAATATGTATATCCTGTGATTCAAGTACATAGCATATGAAAGTAATCTTAGTTGGAAATTGTAAATACTCCTCCATTTTTGCCACACAATGGAAGGAATTGGATGTTAAATTATCTAGAATAAATTGGGAGCTCTCGAACTTTAAAGTGTTACACAGTTGATTCTTTGTGTGTTTTAGCCAATGCAAACACGCATTTTGGGTCATTTGCCCTTCAATATCTTGACATAGATCTTGCTTGGAAAAAAATTAGAGAATTTAGAGAGAGAGAGAGAGAGAGAATTTGGACTAAAAACCAATATGCATGGTTCCAAAATTGGCAAAGGAGAAGAAACTGCAGCTTCTAAAATACATATAATATGCAATCAAAGTTGGCATAAATGTCTACGCTGAATCCAGTCACTCTTTGGGATCACAATTCAAGAGGCTGATATTCAAACCATACGGGTCTATTCATTCATTCCAAAGGAAACAAAAAGAGTACTCAAAAGGGGACGCGGACTAAACAAGTACGCCAGCAATTTCGTTTCTTAAATACATGTATGAAATTTCCATTTCAAGGTCCCAATACATAAGAATGACAAAAAGGAAGCATATTTCTCTCCCATATACAATTTTTACCCCCATGTTAAATCACCAACTAAACGCTCAAAACACATCGATCCAAATAACTTTATATAAACATCGAATTCGAAAATTAGACTACCCACTTCACAAAAACAAACAAAAAGAAAAAGAAAACGACCAAGACGAAAAATGGGAGATATGCATTATCCAATGCACCTGACTGGACAATCCAATTCAGCTCGTACGAATTGTTCACTTCATCCTCCCTCCCTCGTATATCAGATCACCGAGTCACACATAAAAAACGAGGCTCTTTTCGCCAGAGCTCTCTAGTAAATGCTACCAAAAAGAAAGAACTGTAATACAAAAAGAAGGCATACTCCTTTTTTTTTTTTTTCTTCTCTAACTATACAGTTGGGTTTATGTGCAATGGTTAGAACCCACAACTGCCATCAAATTCAGTCAATGGCAATTTTCCTGAAGTACACTGTTAACTCTTTTCTGAAATGGGATGAGAATTCTCTGTTGGGATACCTGGAGAGTCACTTGTGGGTGATTCTTTCGGCAGACAGGCCGGGATGTTCAAACTGTTGGCAGGAAGATGTTCCTGGACAATCTACATGAGACAAACACAAAATCGTATCAAAATTTCTTTATCCATCCAGACCGCTATGCCCATGCAGAAATTCTCATTTCAGATAACTTTAAGAATTTGTAAAAAAGAGGAAAATTTAAAACTTCCAGTTCTTACAAACTTCAATTTCCTCATTGAGATTCAAGGACAAACATCTGCATGAAAAAACTTAACCGCCTTTCCTTGATAATAAAGTATGTAGAATTTATTACCTCATCACAAGCCTCTGAACCATCTGAATAAAAGAGAATCGGGCGGCAGCGTTTGTCTTCATTCATCAAGCTTGAATTCTGAAAGTGGTTCACAAGGGCTGTCTTCCCTTGGATTCGAGCATATGCCAAGGAAGCAACTTTCTCGCTGTTGAACTTCTCCCACTTCTTTCCATTAAAAGCCTGCATAAATCTAGGAATGTTAGTTGGTATAAATACCTTCACAGTTCCCATTCATTCTAGGCACGCCATAGTCTGCTGATTTTTTTTTTCAGCTCTTTTAGGTACGAGGGCGGAGAGCTTTCTATAGGCATCAACAGACACGTGCTTCACTTAAACAATGCGGTGAAAATAACATGAACCAATCAGAATATTTCAACAAGCATAAAAGACGACATAAAACCTCATAAAAAGGAATGATGTGTGAAGGAGACAGCATATTTATGAATGCATAGCCCACGTTGCATTTGTTCTGCAGCCACAAACAGAAACACCAACCAGTTGTAATTTACTATAGGAAGAGTTGTGGCGAAAAAAAAAACCAAAAAAAAAAAACAACAGTAAGAAGTGAGAATTAAGAAAATTTCATCTGATAAACATTGAACAATTACCTTAAAATCAATTGGCAGATAGAGAAAATCATAGGTACCCTTGTGATTCTCATCTATGGCAGCGAGTAACATTTTGGAGGTGTATCTAGAGGACAACAGTAGCATCAGGCATCACTCAAAACGATTATCTTTTTTTTTTTTTTTTTTTTTTTTTTTGAAAAAAAGAGGAAGTCCCCAAGTCACACGTGACAGGGTTACAGGTGTCAGCCTTACTTGTTTGGAATATTTTTTATCATTAAAGTCGTCCGAGTATCCTCCGCACTGATAATTTTGTCCAAATCAAGCTGAAACTGTTTCTTGCTATCAACCAGGTTTCCATTATTCTCAACCCGTCTGCTCCTCCCATACTCAGCCATACCATCAATGCTTGTAGGTTGCAGTCCAGGAAATGGACCATTACCTAAAAACATAGGGCTAAGCCTTGGCGAGGAGATTAGCTTGAAATTTGACGAACTATTTTCCGACATTTTTCCTGGCATGGAAATTCCAGCATTGATAGCAGCACGAGAGCCCATATTTCCCATTAGCTTTCCATCATTGGGGCCAAAACCCATGCTTCCATATCCAAAAGGACTCAAAAATGAAGCTTCCGGTGACTCAGGGAAGTAACCAAAGTGCCTCTCTAAAGGAACGCCAGGTGGAGCAGATCCAACATGATGCTGGTGATGATGAGACGAACCAAGAAAAGAGCCATGATGAGCTGAGGGTGGAAATGCATGAGCCTTTCCTGTGGATGTAAACTGCTGTCCAACAGCTGTTCTTTGCCATGCCAAACTGCCATGATCTGCGTACAGATTTGGACTTCCCCAAAGGAACTGTGGCCCTGATAAAGTTTCCACTCTAGATCCATTCGATGTTGAAGGGCCAAAAGAGGGCATACTACCATGGAAGTGGCTTAACTTCTGCTCTGGAAATGAATGTGATTGTGGAAATGAAGATCCATGAACTGAATTTGTACCGTTAAACAAATGCTCCACAAGACTGGCCCTTCCCTGGTCCCTACCGATGGGTGAAACCTTCATATTGTTTGACACTTGGGGATGCAGAATCGAAGCTAATCCAGGCAAACTGTTGCTGGTTGTCGGGCTCAAGGTCCTAAAACCAGAAGATTTACTAATGTTGTGCATGGGACCTTGTTCAATAGGGCTGTTAAACTGCATCCAGTTACCTGAAAAGATTGCGGCCTTACCTCAGTTTGGAAGAAATAACCGTTATAATGAACCCAAATGGCTCAAAGCTACACATGCATAAAGCTATATGCTCACAAGTCATACAACATTTCTCAAAGAGGATTACCTGGTGGAGAGTTGGTTATTGGAGAACCAACTGGATGCCGGAAGTTACGTGACTCATCTTGTTCAGGCTCTTGATTAAGTTGCAACATTAGACTAAAAAGCACAGAGCATAAGAATCGGTAGTTCCAATTAGCATAGCCAGGGTATAACAAAAAAATAAATAAATAAATAAATAAAATAAAAAATAAAGGGAGAAGAAGAGGAAGAAAAATTTAGTTACTGAATTTGACATCAAACATCCCTAAGTGGATTAAATAACTAAAATTTCTGGTGGTGACCAGTAATAATGCTTACGCAAATCCCAAAAGTAGAAATTATCACAATTTGCTACAACAAGAAACATATGGATTATACCATCTAAACTATTCTGTTGTTATACAAAAATAGGTGGAAATCGAGAACAACATAGTGATTGTGAAACAATAACATTTGGGCGTTGACCTCCAGATCTTCTGATACTTGAATGTCAACAAAAAAAAAACTAAATAAAAATACTCTTCGGATGATAAGAGTATTCATGGCATAATAATGAGCAATATAAATATACGCACTTTCGTCTAGCTCCACCTGGGCGACTGGGTTCAAGCTTTATGCGTTTACCAGCTATGTCACTCCTATTTAATGACTTGAGTGCTGCTTCCGCAGCTCTAACATCGTAGAATTCAATGAACTTATGATGTCTCTTGTGCGGAGTTTCCCTTATCTGCTTTCTCCAATAGATACAAACACAGGTTCATTGGCCAGTGCATAAGAAAATAAACGAGGAAAGAATGAACTCATAAAATATAACTTATCACCTCTTTGACCTCTCCATAGGCCCCGAATATTTGACGAAGGTCTTCATTGGAAACCGATGGATCCAAATTAAAAACTACCAGTGTTCCTTGATTAATATCCTTATCCGAGGGATTGTCCTGTTGTGACCAACCAAAAAAAAAAAACACTGGTTTAGCGATAATTCAAATGGAAAAGAAGAATAAACTCAAAAACTAGTTCTGACCTTTGGAATTGAGAAGTGAATGTCAAGTTTCCTCCGTCGCAGTGGCTTGTTTTGTAATGCACGCATGGCCGTTCGAGCATCACGAATATCATAATAAGATATCATCACAAAGCCCCTATGTTTACATGCAGTGTACAGAGTTCTAATATCGCCATATTGCTACAAAATAAAATAATAATAATAACAAACAAATAAGCAAAAGAAAATTTGACACAGGAGTCTGGAGAAGAGAAAAAACAAAAAGTGCTACTCTTTGGATCAAAATCAAAATAGAAATTAAAAGAAAAGAAAAGGCCTCAAATCTTGGTGACTAGTTCTATAGTGTATTGAAGATGCACCTATATCCAGACTTAAAAAAACTTTGCGGGAGGGAAAAAGACAACCATGCAATGATGCTTAATCATTAAGGAGCATGTTCTTTGCAAGTTTGAACTACCTCAAAAAGAGCTCTGAGTTCTGAATCTTCGACATTACTATTGATATTTCGAACAAATAATGTTCTGGAAGGATGCTCGCCATATGGATGTTCTCCAGCAACAGCTCCCACACCATTTGGAAGGGCATAATGAGGCAGCCCATTCCCAATAGCGCCGTCAGATAAATTAACCTTCGACATACTCATTATAAGGTTTTCCTGTCGATCTATTTCTAGTTCCATGCCTCCTCCGCTGCCAAAAAGATCACAATCTTCCAAGTCCTCCAAGGAACCAGGCAATCCACTTAGGTCAAAATCATCCACTAGGCCAGCTAAAAGCTCCTCCTCATCATCAGGAAGCAAACTTCCAATTGCATGACTTTTAACATCTTCAAGTGATGCATCGCCATTGACATTTTGGTTGAGTTTCTCTACGCCAGCCGAGAGATCATCAACAGATAGATAACTACCTTCTGTATCATTCAAATTCACTGCGTGTATGCACAAACAGGTTAGTGATCCTCTTCTCGATACAGAACGCAAAATTCTAAAGGAATAGCTCAAACATACATTTAGGATGTGGAAGAACGGGTAAAGAGCTTGAAAATAGTGTGGCATCACTTGAAGCACGGTAAGCATTAGAGCCGGATAAAATTCCCCAAGCTCCCGGGCCTACTTCTTTAGAATTGTTAGAGGCTGGAATCTCAGTTGGGCCTACCAGACATTGTAATGACAATTTGAATAAGAAAACAACTGAATTTAATATCCAGCTCACCAAAATAGATTATTTGTACCAAAAAAATAAAATATGAACCTGAAATTGACTGGTGAGTAAACTGCTTCATTGTCTCACTTTTCTGATTTAAACATGAACGGTCAAGAAACAAAAGAGTCAATCTTTGCTATAGTGAGAAAAGTACACAAACATTAGGCAATTAGAATATCTAATTCGATTAGAGGAAATAGCAAACGTGAACTCTAAGAACAAAAGCAAAGTCCATGTGAGAAAGAGACCCCACATGTTCAGAAAATTTGGGTTACCAAAATATTGCAAATGCACTTCAAAAGAAATAAAAAGGGACAAAAATGAAAGATAATATACAACTTCTTGTCAATTTGTAGACAACACAACCAAGTTTCCGTCGGAACTAATTGGAGCCAGCTCAACAAATCATTCTCGTCCTTTAAAAGGATTAATTATGAAAGATTTAAAGACACTAAAAGTTGCTTACTAAATTCCATCCAACGTTAATACCTACGACACCACATATTTCAATCAACGAATATATACTGGTGTCCATTCTTATAACTATCAGAAGCACACGAAGCCTTTTTTTTTTTTTTTAAAGATATAAACCCAAACACAAAAATCTTTATAAAAATGTCGCTAAACCATCAAACTTTTTTAACCCAAACTTATTTTCATATCTAACATGTGTGAAAACACCAAACCAAAACCTTGTAAACTTGAACAGAAGAACAACAGAACAGAACAATACATTTTTAAAGGATTTAAATGTCATAAAATATTAGTTTGAGAGTTTCAAAAGGGAATTTAACGTGAAAATTTTCTAGTGGATCCTGACAGCAATTATTAAAAATAAAAAGGAAGAATTTGCAATGAATAAACAGACACAATCACAGCCAGCTTGAAACCCATAGTATTTAATAAAACGAAAGTAAATACGTCATGTTTGAACTAAATCCATCACGATATATATATATAGACACAGGCGCACATGTATGTATATATTGGGAAAGTCAAAAATTATAGTTCTGTTTAGCAAAAAATTAAAAAAAAAAAAAAAGTAAAAAGTTCTAATTCTAAACTACTCTTAACTTCCCACAGTTAGATCCCCTAGTTAACGAAAAAAAGGGACTTTGATTCTTTTTTTTTATTAGAACTAAACTCTTTAGAGCAATTGGCGATTAAAATTATTATTTGCATAAAAAACCCGAACTTTTTATTGCTTTACAACTGCTCAGTCAAGAAATTTTTCGCGACTTCAGAAACCAATCCGATCAAACTTCACAATATGATTCCCCAGTTTACCATTACCAAAAATTGCTCGAACGAGAAAAAAAACACAAAAAGGAAAAGCAAAGAAAATTACCTGATGAAGGCACAAACAAAGGAAGCGAACCCTAGTAGAAGAAGAGCTTCTGCGAAGCGAAAGAGGGAAAGAAAGCGAGAGACAGAGAAAATATTGTCTCAAATTTACCAAATGGAGAGTTCCAAGTGACTTGACAAGAACCGCTCCACCACCATCAACGTAGAGAGAGAGAGACGTACAGAGATGGAATTGCTGCTGAGAGAGGGAGAGGAGAGAGAAACTTAAACTGGTTTTTCTCTACTGCCTGCCACTTCTCTCTCTATTTTCTGTTTGGAGAGAGAAACGGAGAAACAAAAGGTGATGACGATTGGACGAAAGAAACTCAAAAGTAGCAGAGAATGATTGAGAGAGAGAAACCGAGTTGGGGAACGCAATATATATATATATATATATGTTGGCTCGGAGGAGTTAATTGCATTTAAATTTAATTTGGTGTCCAAAATTATAATTTTGAATTTCTCCAGTTCAAAAAGAAAGTGTGATTTTTTAGGCTTTTTTTTATGAATATCTGATATCTGTACAAATTTAATAAAAGGAAACATTTTTTTTTTTGCTTAGAGAAAAAAAGGGAGCAATTAATAGATAGGGATTAACAACATATATGCATATTATGACGTGTGAATTGTGATGTTATAGATTATTTTTATTATTTATTATTGGTAATTTGGTAGCTAAATATTTCCGTAATTAAGTTTGGGATATTATCCTCTTTTTTGTTGTTTTTTTCTCACATTTTTTTAAAACTTTTCCCACATATTATTTGTTGAACTTAATTTTTTTTTTCTGGCAGAAAATTTGTTGAACTTAATTGGAATTTAATTGGCTGGTAAATAAGATAGAATAGGATAATTATGAACCACGTCAGCAAGTGTCTATATTAAAAGAATATGCAAATTCCTATAATATAAAAATAAAAAACAATTAATCCTTTAAAAAATTAAAAAAAACAATTAAATACATATTTTCATATTGCACTTTTTAGGTCTTTTTTCTCGCTTTTCTTTTTTTGCTCCGCACTTTTTAGATTAATATTATCTTTCCTAATTCAAATGATATATCGGCACAAGAAAACAAAAAACGTGTATGAATTATTTTTGTTTTGGTTGAGGTGGATAGCTTATCATGACGTCACATAAATGCACCACCAACAATTTTTGACTCTTTGCTAATAACTCATGTTTTGACTCTAAAAAAAAAATCATGTTTTCAATGTAGCATGCTAAAAAAATACAAAAATACCTAAGAATTCAAAGTAAATACCTTGGTGAGCATAAATAATAAAATTTAGTTTTGATGATCATATATATTTTTCTTTACAATTTCGTATCTGGCCTATGCGTCTCTCTCTCGGTTGATCGAGGAGTTATATAATGAGTGTGTATATGAATTTACTATTCAGTACGCGTTTGTCTTTTTGAATATTTCATTCGAATTTAATATGGGGCCGATTTGATTGAAATTGAGTCCTCTAATGTCTTGAGCTCTTTTTCATTAAGTTATGAATGAATTGTCTTTATATATAACAACAATTGCCCCGTATTTTCACTTGTAGAGCTAAATCTCAAGAAATATATGGGCCCGTTTAATTCGCTGATTCGAGTTTTTAATTCGAGTTGAGATGTGATTTTATGTGAGAACTTTTTACTGTAGCAAAAAAGTTAGATGTGATTGTTTGTGAGAGCTTTTTACTGTAACAAAACTCAAATTCTAAACTCGAATCAGCGAAATGAACAGGGCCATAATGATAGTGAAAGTAATAACTTGTTGCATAACATTGATGAAAAAAAAAAGTATATATATATATATATATAAACGTTAATAAATTCGGTGAAATGTGAATGTGAAAATATGTTTTTGTATAGGAAGTTAAAAACCTCCACTCTCTAGTTTGTTGCTAAGACAAGATTAATATGCAAAACAAAATAGGACAAAGAATAAGTGGTCAAAGTTATTTTGGATAATTCAACAAGTCGAAATCTAATGGATTATTTTTATGATTAAAACACACAAGTCATTCATTTCCTTTTTTGGAAGGAAATGGTACAATAATGTTCTAAAATAATCACACAAGTCACGCCATCTAAACTTACCTTTCTGGTAACAAAAATATCGATATTATATATCATTCGTATCCCTAATGAGCCATACGTGGAAATTATAATCAATATATATTGGTCCCCAATAATACTCCACAACATCTAATAAACCGGTAAATCATTGGGTATCTACAGATTCAATGAATGATATCATCTGATATTCAACAATGCCAGAATTAGTAACCTCCTTTTTTATTTTCTATAATTATAAATTTTCCACGTGTGATTTTTGGTATAAAAAAGAAGTTTAAATTTGTTCATACATGTGAGGTACTAAGACAAACTTATCCATCCGCCTACCTTAAGGGACAAATTGTTTTTTTAATTTTTTATCAAAAAAGTGCTTTTTATTTACTCATTTAAAAAAAAAATTAATTTCTTTTTCATTGGTATCTGGTTATTATCGTCTTTGTAAGGAGATTGAGATTGATTTGTAGACTGCTTTTTCATTCAACCAAGCACATTGTTCGTATGAATGAGAATCATGGGCTAGCTATATATAGATTAGAAAATACTTATCCCTTTAGCAAAATCTTACACTGACAAAATTTTATTAAATTTCATTAAATTATTATTGTTTTTAATATATATGATCTATATTCAAAATATCTTACTAGCAAATTATTTTTTCATATAATATCAATAATTTATGTAAAAAAAATAATTGCCTTGGATTTTTTTTGGAAAACCCTCTCAGAATATTGCTCACGTGTATTGCCATCACAAAAATAACAAATTGTATCCAGTTATGTCAGTTAATTTCTATAAACAAGCAGTTTTGTTTAATTTGCAAAAAGAAGGTAGATATTCCCTGGTTTTGAGAACTCACGTTTTATAGGGCGTGTTCGTTTAGGTAGTTTTTGAGTAAAAAAACTCAAAAAAATGTAATTTGAGTTACAACTTTATTCGAGTTCATGTTCTTTTAAGTTTGAACTCAAGTTTAAATTCGAGTTTGGAACTAAAACTCGAGTTCAAGTTTCCCTTTCAACTCGAACTTAAGTTAATGAACAGTATTTTTTATATTCTTAAAAATGCTATAACTTTTTCGTTTTAATTCCGATTGAGATGATTTTTTTTTCTATGCGTTGACAACGAAAAGACGAATAAAACTAGACCCATATACCCTATTAAAATTTTTCATCAGCATTGAGAGTTTATTAAAATATTATCTAAAAATAAATTCAAGTTTTGACTTACTCAAACACAAACTCAAAAAAAATTCTTATCTCAAACCATAACTCAAATGTACACAATTAAACACAAACTCAAGTTATAACTTCAACTCAAATTATAACTCAAACTCAACTCAAAATCTACGCTCAAATTACCTAACTCAAAAACATCAAAAGAACAAGCCCATAATTCTATGAAACCTTTCCTTAAAAGGCTATACATTACTAGCAAAAAACATAGCTTTAATTTGTCTCATGCTATCTTTTAAATGAAGCCGAAAGCCAAGAGAGGTTTTTCTTTGGATCCAAGATGGATAAGGATGGAAAGAAATTAAAGTGAAAGTTTGTGATCATGCACTTTCTTGTAAGCCAATCAAAAACCCTTTATTACAAGGAGGAAAAGAGGCCTCATTGTTTGGAAAAAAATTACTCTTATTTTCTCAATCCCACACCAAACTTAATTTCATTTTTGATTTATGAATTTTTATTAAATCCTTTTCGGAAAATAAACACCGATGAAGAAGTATTTTGCCAGTATTTTATTCTTCTCATTTTATTGAAATATATGAAGATTAAAGAGATAAATACCAAGCAATTTGCTTAATTTAAAAAAAAAAAAGAGATTTTCTCCTATAGGTCTTTAATATATACCATGCCGAGCTAAGACATATCCCATCATTAACTCTCTTATTCATTTTTGTGAACTTAGCAATCAAGAAGGATAACATATTTTTGAATATTTTATTTTATTTTGGGGTTGTTCTTTTGCAACAAAATTCAGAAAAAGTTTAAACTCGAGTTACAACTTTATTTAAGTTCATATTCTTTTATAAAATGTGAGTTTGAACTCGAGTTTGGAGCTAAACTCGAGTCCAAGTTTCCCTTTCAATTCGAACTCAAGTTAATGAACAGTATTTTTTCTATTCTTAAAAACTTTTTGTTTTAATTCTGATTGAGATGATTTTTTTTCTATGCATTCACAATGAAAAGACGAATAAAACCTTACCCATATACCTTATTAAAATTTTTCATTACCATTGAGTTTTTATTAAAATACTATTTAAATACAAATTTAAGTCTTGACCCACCCAAACATAAATTCAAAAAGATTCTCAATTTAAATCGTAACTCAAATGTGCACATCCAAACACAAACTTAAGTTACAACTTCAACTCAAGTAATAACTCAAACTCAATTCAAAATCATCACTCAAATTACCCTAACTCAAAAATACAAAATAACAACCCATTTATTGCTCAAGAGGAGGGTATAACATAGCTGTGAAAGTATTTCAAGAGGTAAACATAGGATACATTTGCATATCATACATCAATGCAGCAATGTTATACTTTCACAGATGATTTAAGAAAGGGATTTTTTTTAATCTTTTTATACTCTACGTTTTAGGACTATATATAGTATTAGATTGCATTTAGTAGAAAAGTCTATACTTTTCCTAGGCGAATAGTCAATTTTCACTAAAAAAAATAAGAAAAATATCCTCCAGAGAAAATAGAAAAAAAAAACTCATCGAAATAAAAAAAACAATTAAATAAAAAAACAATTACATGTAACTCCACTAAAAACGCATCTAGGGTAGATAATTTCTGCAATTAAATAATGCTAATGACACTATCATGATCATATTCAAAAAGAAAAGGTATAAAGTATATTAATACTTAAGATTTCCACACCCACAATTTCCTTTTGGGAAATTCTATTGTGGGGGAACAGCACTTTTCCCCTATCAATATGGTATGATCCAATGGTTATTTATAGCTAGATTTTCCCCGGGACCCATTAAAACACAAATAGAAGCTCCGATATGAAGCACCATATTCTTTTTTTTAATCCCCTCTTTCTTTTTTTTTTTTCTTTCTTTTTTTTGAATAATTTTAACCCTCTCTTTCCCAAAGTACGTTCATAGCAAAGCCATTTTTTTTTTGGCTCAACAGTTAAACACCAAAATTTCAAGAAATGGTTTTTTTTTTTTTGAAACAAAATCAAGAAATGGGATTTGAATTG